AATGGTTGTGCTGTGTTGTCTCCTCTGTCACCAGTTCAGAAAAATACATTCAAATATTTATTGCATTACATTACAATCACTATTCCAATCTACTATTCCAAATAAGAAAGATACTAAAATGAAGAGGATGTATAACCCTTCTTGGTGAGAATGCACATGTAAGGACTGAATGAGATTAGCATATATAGTGAGGTAAGAAACCAATATCCCTGTTAAGTCCTGGGGTAAATGGACACAAATCTGACATCAAGAATCACAAGATTGAGAAACCTGTAGGAGAACACTTCAGCCTTCCTGGACATTCAGTGGGTGATCTCAAAGTAGCTGTTTTATTACAAAGGAACTTCAGGAACAGACTGGAAAGGGAAACTGGTGAATTACAAGTTATTACAGCCCTCAGAACCCCCCCCCCCCCCACACACACACACACTGACTACCCAAGAATGAGCCTTAGCATTAGTTGGTACCCCATTCCACTTACTGCATCCATAGCAATGAACATGCTAACTGGGAGAAGAATCACATTTGCAAAGCAACAAAGAGCTACAACTGGAGTGCTGAACAGCTGCAATAACAGAAGTAGCACCTTTAGATAAACCATTAGTCTTGTGTACACAAAAAGGAAAATTTTTCCCGTGAATACATAAAAAAACAATCATACAGAAATGCCCAGTGTTTCCTTATACCTTCAACATCTTCTTTCAATCAACCATTAGTTTCCTGGCATAGGCTTTCAACATGTTTCATCTCTTTTGTCTCCTTTCTAAAGTAAACAATTCCAATCTTTTCAATCTTTTTTTTTATGTGAGTTTCTTCAAGCTTGTAATAATAATAGATGCTCTTTGTTGAACCTTCCCCACTCCAGCAATATCCTTTTTTGATGCAGGGTCACAAGAATTGTACATAGTAGTCCAGAGAAGGGCAAACTATTATCTTCCTCTCTGCCCTTTATGCATCTTAATGTTCTGTTTGCTTTCAGTGACTAGTATACACCAAGTAAAGGCCATCACCAAACACAAGGAGACATACATTTTTTAAAAAGTTTATGGTGCAACTGCAGAGATTCAGCACTTGTCAATCTAATCTTTAATTAGCAGATTTGCAGGTTTCATTTGAGCCAGAAAGGACTTAAACATCTATTCATCTGCATCCTATAATGTACAAAACGGCAGCATGTATTTTTTTTTTATAGATATATACCATAGCAAAATACAGAATCAGTCCTGGAATTCCAGTATGGCCTTTTAGTTTTTTGTTGTTTTTGGGGGGGGGGGGGGGGGTGGAATCAAGCATACGGAATCCTTTCATTTAGCATTTAGAAAATCAAAATTCCAGTTTAAATTATGCAGTGGCTTGTTTTTTAGAAAAGTCTTGCATGGAGGCTTCTTCACAAATAACATCTTTACAGAACTATGAACAACTTAATAAAAAGGTTAAAATAGTCTGTCATTTGCTTGTAATATATACACAGGCATGTCTTCACACAAATACTATAATGGTCACCACATAGGGTTGCCAGGTCCTTTCTTGTGGCCAGCGGGGGACTTTGGGGGGCA